AGACAATTAGATATTTATTTTTAAGGAAATCATTGAGTGTCAAGTGTTATTTTATTAAGTAATACTTTCATATCAATTTATTAGTTATTATTTACAATAAAAAGGCCTCAAAACTATGTTCTGCTTGGAGCCAGTCAACTATCTGATCCGCCACTATGTTTGTAAAATACTTATCGGAACATTTTATGTAATATAGAAAATATCGCGTGAAGAAATTGGATGTTTCGAAGTACAGTAATTGAATATTAATAAACTATTTTAATTAATAGAATAATTTTAATTTATTTTTAGTTTATTTAAAGGAATTTTAGTTCCGTATTATTGGTATTCTGTATTCTATGTTTAGTTTATGAGATATAAAAGAAAAGGTGGTATTATGAAACCCTTAAGGTATTATGGAACCCCTCCATTTCGAACTGATAATAAAGGCGAACTGTAGCGGATTGTGGCTGAAATGAACTACGCAGACATCCATAGCAAGGGAAAACCCGTTTCATTTCAGTTAAACGGTTGTCCGTATTTAATCAGCAAATTTGTTTTTTTCAAAATTCACAAGTTTTGAATGCTAAGTGAATTTAATTATTTTTAAAATGTAAATCGTGTAGTTATAGGTTCACTGGTGCTTCTATTCTGTTCCAGAGACTTAGGAGTACATATTAATCTGTGTGATGTTCACGTTTATTAAAGTCTGGTCTTGACAAACATAAGTTAATTCAAGATGGCGATGAGTGAAATGCGGGCCCCATTGGTGCTTTTAATATGGAACCCAACTAGGGTTTCTCATTTCCCGGTCTTTTGCTTGTCTGTGTATATATCTTACACAGCATTAATAATGCTGTGTAAGATATATAATAAAAATTACCTTTGAATTACGTAGAAATTTTCACAAATAGAAAAAAAATTATTAAAGTTTGCTAGAAACTGCACACAACAACAACAACAAAAATGCTTTGAATTGAGTTAAAAATTAAAAATTGAACTTTGATCAAACTTATAACTTAAAAGGTAATTTTCGTTTTTTAAATAAAATATAATACGAAATATTGCAAACTTTTATAAGATTTTAAAAAGCAAAGATAATAAATACTCCGATCACTCACTCTAATTCTTATTTTAGTAATGAAAAGTCTTGCTACCGAGAATGCCATTTCCGATTCAATTGATGTGATTGGAATCGTGTTTATTAATGCATTTAAGAATAAGACAGATATTATGTGTTTTTTCACCTGTAGCCTGGAAGATTTCGAGTTCGTTTTCGAGATTGTAGTACTTCTTTTGCTCTCTAGTATTTTTGATTTATCTACTTCGGCTGCTTTAATAGCGGCATCCAGCTTATAGCTCAATAATTCGGCAATTCGTTTGGCTTTAATAATCAGGTTTATGAAGAAAAACTTCATACTTGCAGACTTTATACTCGTTTGTATCTTTGCCCAATTTGCACAATCTGGCGTTACGCATTTATTGAAGCTACTGGGCATGGTTAAAAATTAAGACAGCGTAAGCACAATTATTCCATATATTACAGGTTCTGACAAGTAAAGAATTTTCAGAGTCCTGCCACAAATAAGCTACGTATTGATTATCGACCATTTGTGACATGCCATAATGAGCAAAAATTAAAAAAAAAAAATCTAACTAATAGATAGGTTTAAAATTAATAAATACAAATGTATTCTGACAGTGAATGAGATAATAATGCTTTTTATTGCAAAATTTCTTAACCTTAACACAAAATAAGAAAGAAAGTGAATTTTTAAGAAATTTGCGGGATTTCCCGGGATAAGAAAAATTTCCCGGGATATTTCCCGGGTTGAAAAAACAACCGGGATCCCGGTATCCCGTTTGAGAAACGCTAAACCCAACTTTTCCGAACTCCCTCTTTGCAAGCAAACATTCGTCCGGAGCAATTTGTGAAAAAGACACTAGGTAGAAAGCAATTCTTCCTGAGAATATCGAAAAAGAGCTGCTGGAATATATATTGTTGACGGAGGTCATATTTTTCTATTATAAAAGCATCTTTGCGATAAAATACATTGGAGTAAATAATTTTGTAATTATTTAACATTTTTTGTACTTTCCTATTTGTTTTTGGCTACGTTAAAGCATTTTAAAAAAAATATACAGTAAGGTTCCATATTACCATCCGATTTTCTCTAAGCCTACTTTCTAACATTTTGTACAATAGCCTTCAAAAACCATACTTATAGTTACACTAGCGAAAAATCCAATTAGGAACACTTAGTTTAATAGTTACCAGTACTTTTCGCACAAAAAATGTGGGTGTAGTTATGATATCTTGTTTACAATTCACTATAATTTAATTGAGATTCCATAATACCACCTTCTCTTCTACATTTAAGGTTAAATCACCAAATAACGGCTAACTGAAAAGGAACCAAAAGCTACTCAATAAGGTTTTTTTTTTTATTTGTATTAGTAGTAATAGAGTATATAATTGATTAAAAACTGCTCATAAAATATTGTTTCAGTATGATAAGTCCTAGAGAACAATTATGTGTGGTGGCACAAATATTCTAATATTAATTGAGTTATAGTGCAAAAGGCCATAATAATATCTGATGATGAGCCCAAAATTAAAATGAATTTTGTATGGAACATTAAAATATCTTTTTTCAAATCCTACTTTTCGGAAATATTATCTGAAAACATTATTGATATTTGCTGAACATTTAGTTGTGCGTTCAATGTTTCTAAAGCAAGTTAATTCTGCCATTTTTTTCTTAGGATATACTTTTTATCCTGCTGGTACCGTACCTGCACTAGTTATGGATTTTGGAATGAGCATTTTCTTGCAAACATGAAAGAATCTGCTCACCACAAATTCCACAGCAGACGTTCAGGATAAAATGCGCAATGGGAACCACCGGGCACATTGTGTATTTTATCCTAAAGGTTTACTCCGTGTGATGCGCAGCACTTCGCAGAGCGGTGCTTCGGCACGCTTTGCCCAGTGGTGCACAATGTGACCGTTATACAAGCCATTCGATATTAGTGCCTCGTTGTTTCATAAACTGTGTTTAAGGAGCGCAGTTTATAAAACGACGTTTATGATTCATCATGTTGCAAATTTGGTAACTCGTTGCACCACTCAAATCACTGTGTAAGCTCTATATAATGGTTTTTTGCACGTAGCAGTGGAAAGCGCTACGTAATATCCTGTGATGGCGTCGTAATATCCGGTGTATTTTTGGTTGCTTAATTTCACAGCCTGATCTAACATGAACAAAATCTTCTATGCCCTTGGTTTAAGCTGATACACTCTATAAGACGTTATAACATTATTTTATATAATTTTTTTTAAATATCCAAAACGGTTACTTCCTAAAAACGGCCAATATTTATGTTCTCATCGGTGTCCGTTATCCACAGGTTTGACTGCATTATTTTCTATTTGTAACATATTCTCATTTCCATCTCTATTAAGGAGCAAGAGAATTGAATCTAATTTTGGAAAGGTGGAATTTATTTTTAATTAAGAAATTTGAAACTAATAGAAATTTCTTTCCTTTTATTTTAATCATAAATTTCTTGAAATTTCGTTTATAATTTAAATTACTTTATAATTACATAAACTACTTCGATTAATTTTTCTTGCTTAAAGTTTTATAATTTATTAGCAATTTTTGTTTTTTCTTTTTTTTTCATTTCGTTTTAAATACGAAGAAAATTATCTAAAAATTTTAGTGATAAACTAATCCGATTATCTTTCAATTTTTTTTTAAATTATATTTTGTTAACAATATTATAAATTTAATTTTTGTTAAAATAGTATCCCAAAAATTAGTTTCCCGAGATATGAAAATTTCAATTAACTCGGTTAACTATCTTTTGAGTCATTTTATACCTGCATAGAGCGAGATAAAGACTCGAGATGCCAGTTGAGATGCTTCACATGCTTTAGAAAATCTTTCAATTAATTAACTCTGTTTGAAGCGAACTTGAAATTAGGAGAAAGACGTTTTAATTAATTCAAATTAAATACATTCTCCGGAAGCTTGTGTTTAAAAATCTGTTTTTATTCATTAATTTCGAGTGGATAAAACGACTAAACACTGGTCGTGGGTTCGAGCCTCGCCAACTGGCTGGTCACGTGGGGTTTTCTGTGTTTTCTTCACGAAACTAGGATACCTAAATAGGATCTACTTTTAGATATAAAGTATTTCCTCTCTACATATCGTAATTAAATAGACCAATAAATCACAACGGCCAAAAAATTACGTATAATTTTCCAGGTTTCTTTCACGTGTTTAACACCCATATACGGCCCAGTTTCTATTGGAAATCGGTCTTGTATTTAGGTGTATTAACACCGAATAGGACCCAACTACCAATACGTTGGTGTTAGGTTAGAATATTCCCAGAAGGCATCCCCCTTGTATGAATTTCGTTTCCTTATCCCATTGATTCATTCATCCATCTATAAATCAGTCTTATTCTATTCGCTTTGTGAGTACAAAGAGGGTCTTTTTTTTTATCAGGCCTACCGATAACTTTCAAAATCCGGTGACGGGAAATGATACATCCTGAAAAATTCTAGTGTTTTTCCACAGCTCAGGCTTAGACATAACTGTCTAAGGTCTATTTAATTAATAAGTAAGGCATACTTCAAAGCCGTTCATATGGTATTATTATTAATTTTTTTTTTCCCAGGAAAAATTTAAAAATCCAATTCTATTATTTTTCTAATTTGTAGAAACAATATTTATTTCTTAGAAATTATTTTAAATATACAATGGATTAAATTACATTAAAAAATTTAATTTTTTGTTTTTTTTTTTAAATTAGAATTATTTTTATGATGAAAATATTTTTACATGATTAAAAAACATATTAAATTTCATATTATATATTTATTTTACGTTATATTTTAAATTACGAATCGATTTTTAAAGAAAGATATCGCATTTTACGTCACGAATAAAATGAAATACTTGATTATAAAAACGAAAATTAACGATAAATATTTAATGTAACATTAAATAAACTCATAAAAAGATGTCTATAAGAAAAATTATATTCATTTTATTCAGTTTTGTAATGACTACACAAGCAATACCGTATTTTTTTAATAGTGGTAAGTGTTTTTATAATTTATTTTAATTATGTAAAATGCAAATTTTAGTACAATTAGCTTTAAAAGTTAAGGATATGGCAAACTATAGGGATCTGAATTAAATAAATGATTCAGGATGTGTCTTAAGTCTGGGTTAGCATTATATTTGAACCCTGAGGTGTCCTATAACTGCAGAACCACAGGAGTTAATCTATTAATTGATGTTTATTAAGAACAGTCAGTGTAAACTTTACCATTGTTTATCTTTAAAATCATATACAAAACAATATAATTCCTATTGTTCAATCGAATTAATGTTTAGATAATTGAATAAGATATAAAATTCTGTAGTTTGTTGTAAATATGAATAAGAAGCAATAAAATTAGTATTTATGGTAAAATAAACCATCAATTGAACTTTATAAGAGTGTAAAGAATGAGTATTCAAACCTATTTTTCTTTTCTTATATATAGGCCTACTACAATATACATTTCTTATAATTAAAATTTACTTTATTAATTTATTATGGATGCAATGCTAATACTATAAACTCTGTTTTATATCCTCCATTGAATACTCATTTATAAATAAGTTTATAATTTTGACTTGAATCTACTATTGTATGTATGATCATACACTTACTTTTACTTATATGTGTAGAGATAAGATGCTAAGAGGAGGTCCTGTATACAATAACGATGATTTAATTATATTTGTTTAAATTGCTGTAAAATTTAATTATTTAGTTTCAATTTTCCTTTAATTAGTATTAATTTTAAACTAAAAAATGTTAACCATGTACTGTACGTCACTTTAATGATTTACTTTAGAACAATATTCAGAAAAATTTAGATGATTTAATAAATGTAATTGTGTTCCAGCTTATTAATTATGTAATTAGAATACATTTAAATTAAAATAATTAATAATAATGTGATTTAAATTGACAAATTTAGTAAGAATCTACAATTGTAAATGTTTCAGGTTTTTGACAACNTGAAAAACGTTATATTTTAAATTACGAATCGATTTTTAAAGAAAGATATCGCATTTTACGTCACGAATAAAATGAAATACTTGATTATAAAAACGAAAATTAACGATAAATATTTAATGTAACATTAAATAAACTCATAAAAAGATGTCTATAAGAAAAATTATATTCATTTTATTCAGTTTTGTAATGACTACACAAGCAATACCGTATTTTTTTAATAGTGGTAAGTGTTTTTATAATTTATTTTAATTATGTAAAATGCAAATTTTAGTACAATTAGCTTTAAAAGTTAAGGATATGGCAAACTATAGGGATCTGAATTAAATAAATGATTCAGGATGTGTCTTAAGTCTGGGTTAGCATTATATTTGAACCCTGAGGTGTCCTATAACTGCAGAACCACAGGAGTTAATCTATTAATTGATGTTTATTAAGAACAGTCAGTATAAACTTTACCATTGTTTATCTTTAAAATCATATACAAAACAATATAATTCCTATTGTTCAATCGAATTAATGTTTAGATAATTGAATAAGATATAAAATTCTGTAGTTTGTTGTAAATATGAATAAGAAGCAATAAAATTAGTATTTATGGTAAAATAAACCATCAATTGAACTTTATAAGAGTGTAAAGAATGAGTATTCAAACCTATTTTTCTTTTCTTATATATAGGCCTACTACAATATACATTTCTTATAATTAAAATTTACTTTATTAATTTATTATGGATGCAATGCTAATACTATAAACTCTGTTTTATATCCTCCATTGAATACTCATTTATAAATAAGTTTATAATTTTGACTTGAATCTACTATTGTATGTATGATCATACACTTACTTTTACTTATATGTGTAGAGATAGGATGCTAAGAGGAGGTCCTGTATACAATAACAATGATTTAATTATATTTGTTTAAATTGCTGTAAAATTTAATTATTTAGTTTCAATTTTCCTTTAATTAGTATTAATTTTAAACTAAAAAATGTTAACCATGTACTGTACGTCACTTTAATGATTTACTTTAGAACAATATTCAGAAAAATTTAGATGATTTAATAAATGTAATTGTGTTCCAGCTTATTAATTATGTAATTAGAATACATTTAAATTAAAATAATTAATAATAATGTGATTTAAATTGACAAATTTAGTAAGAATCTACAATTGTAAATGTTTCAGGTTTTTGACAACAGATGGCAATAGCATTGACAATTCGAAATTAAAAAGCACGGTCAAACACCTCTAACAATGGCCAGCCATTGTTTACAGAGGGCCGTTGTTCAGAGGTTCTGGGTGTATTTTAAAATTTATATATTAAATTAAATTATAAAAGAATACTTTATAATACTAAAAAATACATTATTAGCTCGATATCATTTATTAATTTATTATACTTTTATTAACATACGATCAATAAATGTAGTAGAACCTGTCTAAAATATATCCTCTATAAACTGTCTAACGCGGAAATAAAATACTTTATGGATAACAATTTCATAACGTAAACCAAGTAAAAAGTAATTTTTCGCGTAAAATTCTAGAACATATTTAAAACACATTCCAAGAGTATTGGATTTCGTTGCAGGTTTTTTTCTGTTGTGACCCACATAAGCTCGTTTCTCGAAGCATAAAATGCTTATTTTAGAGGAGAAATGCTTAAAATATAAATTGTATAAACCTCTATAAAACGGAAATATTTGGCATACCATCGTGTACCGTTTTAGACAGGTTCTACTATCTGATACTAACTTTAAAAAGTAAAGAATTTAGAATATATATTATTTAAGCAATAAATGTGATTTTAATCGATTCAGGATGATATAAATTATGAATACAAAGTACTATTCTGAAGATTCACGTGTTATGAATAGGGTCAATATAAGGTATATAGGGTCAAATAGGATCAAAGCTTAATGGATCATTCGAGTTAACTTGAATCTTTTAAAAATATGACGCAAAAATATAGGTAATTTAACTACATCTATATATGTTATACAGGTAGAGATCAACGCTGATATACCTGAATCATTCCACGTAAAGATTTCTGATTTGATCTGAACCCGAACTCGAATAATCGAGAACGATCCTCTTAGTTACAGTTAATTGAATGTTACTTAATATAATTACTTAATAAAAAATTTATATTAGTAACAGAGGTAAACCTCGTCATTTTCTTCTTCATCTTATTCCATTGTTCCATGTTAGATGCTTCCGTCTAGGTACACGCTGCTCACAAACTTCAGCTATTTATATGATCTTAATTGACATTAGGCATAGGAAGGACAAAAGACACAACTTACTCGCATTTATTCTGACAGTAGGGTAGCTTTACACAAGATTGCGAAGTCTGATTAGTCGTTTAAAACTTGTTCATCTCACACTACATTCTTAGACACTTAGATAACATTAGAATAGATTTTCAATGAGTCCCGGATTCTCGGCAACGAGACCGCTAACCTTCTTGCCAAACAAGCTGCAAAATCTTCAGTCACTAGTACTTTTAGTTACATCCCTACCTCATACATCAACAATCACATCAAGAAGCAAATCTTCATTCTCTGGCAAGACAGCTGGGACCGTGACACCACTTGTAGGCTCACTTACACTTTTATCCACTAGGTTGAAACTACTGCGACTCTTCGCCACTTTTACCCTTGTTACACCTTTACTCACCAACTTACAGGACACGGCAACTTTAAACAATACTTGCATAGATTTAACCTTGGGGACAATCCACAATGCGATTGTCCCCCAAAAAACTAAGTGAAGTGGTGTTTGGTCTTCCCGAATACCACAATCCACAATGCGATTGTGGTATTCAGGAAGACCAAACACCACTTCACTTAGTTTTTTGCTGCAATAGGTACAATCATATTAGAGATAGTTTAATGAGAGCTGCTATTCTTGAAGGGTACAACTGGCCTTGTAACCCGCACCAACTCATTCATACGCGTACAATGTTTCATCATTTACTCGCATTCATATCCCTTAGTGGGGCTCTTGAGAGCACTCATTCCGGGGGGCACGGATGGCAATTAGCTTTCCCTTGCTTTGTTTCAACTGTCGGTATGTAGCTGCCTTTAAACTTTATATTTAATTCTTATTTTTCGTCTTCTTTTTCAGTCAAAATTCGGCTGGTTTAAGTTGGTCCCAGTTGTATGTTAGATTAGGAACTCTTGGCTTGTTTTCTGGTAAGATTATGCTCGGTTAGATTAAATTAGATTAAGGTTTGTAAGCTTTAGTCATCTGATTGGGTTCGTCCTAGGTTATGGTAGGTTAGTTAGTAAGTACGTTAATGTTTAAAAAAATAACAAAAGGTATTTAAAAAAATAAATGAAAAAAGAAAAAAGAAATTTGGAGTGTTGCTTGTTTGTCTTTTGTGGGTTTGTTCGTCTCGTCTAGTTTGTCGTTGTATTCGTTTGTTTTTTTCGCTGTCTGTGTAGCTGTGAAGTAGTATTAAGAGTCACGCTCACGTTTAGTTTCTTTAGTGTTAAGTAGTTATAAGTCTTCCTACTAACAGCCACTTGGCACTAACTTCTACAGCTATTCGTGGCAGCACTGAATCATTGGTGTTCGCTTCACTCAGGTTTTCTTTTAGACTCTTCGAAGGACTACAGCCAACATCAAACATAGAGGGTAATGTAGCCACGCGTACGCCGTTCAGAGGGATCCTCCTTTCTCTACGATCTATCTCCTCTTCCTTCTTCTTCCTCTCCCCTTTCCCTTATCTTCTTTTCCGCCAGCTAAACACCTCGTGTAAGGCCGAATTCTTGTATGTATGTATATTCCATGTTAGAGACCATCATTTGCTACTTCCATTAAGCGTAATCAGTACATAATGTTATAATTATTTTAAACATTTTATAATATACTGTATTAACTTATATTTAATTTTAGTAAATTCTTCAATTTGTAAAACTCGAACTGGAGAGGTCTTGCAAATAGGAGAAAAGTGGCACGATCCTGATAGATGCGTTCAATATTCCTGCGAAATAACTCCAATAGGAACAACATTAATTGGAAAAACGTAATTTAATATAGAATTTATAGAAATTTTACGATACAGCTTATTGCTAATTATATATGTATGAATATGTTATAATTTTTTTTAGATGTTCGAGTGTAATTTTTCCTTCAAACTGCAGAGGAGTACCAGGAAAAGGTCAATACCCCGATTGTTGCATTAACGTTGAGTGCGAGGAAGATGATATTCCTATATTTCCAAAATATAATCCAAAATATTATATGACATAATTTTAAAACCAGTAATTTTAATTTGAAATTATTGTTGTATTTTAATGCTTCAAATCGTGTAATAAAGTTCTTAAAATAGCATACTTTCAATTTGTACTAATTGCATTTTACCGCAGTTCAGATTTCGCTATTGATTTTTATGATTTTCTTTTGCTAAACTATGAACTGTGTCCTATACTATAAGCTGTTTCGATTTATAGTATACGACATAAAGGGCCTCCCAGAAGATAACGGCGACCTGAGGCAAATTCAATTATTATAATAAAGAAAGTACACAAAAAAGAAAACATTGTATAGAGCCCTTACTCCCTTGAGGTTGGGCAAAGAGCGATTTTTTCTACTGCTGCCATCCCACCAGTGGTTGAGTGAATGACATTACTGAACACTCGTAGTTTGTTCGTGGTTCCCTTCTCTCTAACGAGCTGTCCATGCCGAGTTTTCACGTTTATTAACACCTAAATAGGGGCCAGGTTCTTCTCACAAATTCCTCTCAACAATTTCTTCTTACTCTTCTTAACGGTTTACGAAATCACTAGTATCACTAGTCTGTATAAACGATGTACTGTACGGTCAAATACACAAATAGTCCACCCCTATAAAGCGTCAATAAAAATTTGCCAACGAATCCTTCCCGTAAATAGAGAAACCATTTTAATCTGTTACTAAACGTAGGATTTTGAGTTATATATGACATGGTTATCACTAAATTTCGCGACTCAAACTTATATATAAATTTTATTACTAAGTTTTATATAATGCTTGTTGTTTGAGGTATTCCGATTAGCACTACACTTGATATAGTGCCAATTTTGGAAACGTTAAATCGAAGTTTTATTGTATACCTACTCTTATGGCATAGCGAAATCTATGCTTTTTTCAGGCATTACAGCACAATTAAAACATTCAATTTGAATTGAACAGTGTTAAAAAGAAATCGTTAAATTAGAGAAAACTCATTAGAATGAAATACCCATGGAAATCTTCCATAATAATGGAAAATATTCCCTGAAGAATATCTTGGACGGACTAGGAAAAGAATGATATTAATTTGAAAGTTTCCTCCAAGATTATTTTTTTAAATAAAAATATGTATTCCATTCTTATAAAAGATTACATGGCAAATCCTCACGCAATAGTTCTCCCATGGATCCATTTCTCTTTGATAGTCTCCAAGAGTATTGTGTATTAACTACTAAAGTGAAATATAATATATATATGAATACGTCTTTCTAATAGTATATTAAATCGTCTTAATATATCTTAAAAAATCATCATAAACTCAGGTATATTTCCCATTGTATACAGACATTTGCAAAATGTCTAGAAATCTTAAACATTACTACTTGAACACAAAACAAAAGGTATTCCGAGTCAATTATAGAATTATCCATAAATTAGTCCATAAATTATCATACCAGCCGAGACTAATGAATTAAAACCACTAAACATAGTAGTTTGTCGAGGGTTCGCAACCTCACCAATGTGGAGATTTCCGAGTTTTTCTTCATGTGTCTAACACCTAATTAAAAGTTAGTTTCCCATAGAAAATCCTCTCGAGAAGAATCTTCCTAGGCAGATGTGTTGCGTTGCTTTATCCCATACGTTCAATCCATCAACCATGTTAAAAAAATTGATCAACTCGATCCATCATTAAGGAAATGAGAATAAAATCATTAGAAATTATTTAGGAATAAAGAAAAGGAATTTGATTGAAAGTCATGAAAATAATGAATACTTAATAGGTATATAATGGAAGTATTTATTGATTACTTATGTTTACATGTAAAATATGATAGTGTATTGTTTAGTATTAAAAAATTCCTATTCACATCCAATTACATATTCGCAGCATTCAGGATATATCTTTCCTTTTCCTGTACATAGCAATTCGCATCCTTGAGGTATGTCTTCTTCTTTCGGAGTATCAATGCACCTAAATAAAATAATAGAGATTATAATTTTATTTTAAGTTTAATAATAAATTAATTATATTTAAAATTACTTTATTAAAAGATATTAACAATATTGGTGTATTTCTCAAAGTCTGATTAACCATATAAATGCTAATAACTTTACAGATAAACGTGTACTTTATCTAAAAACAACATTTTAACATAAAAACTATTCATAGTACTGAGGAGTGAATGATTTCTATGTGAATAAGTGCGAATTTATACAAAATAAGTGAAGATTATTTGTTGGTGGCGCTGTAACACACAAAGATTGATAGATGGCGCTAGTAGTCAATCTTTGCGTGTTTCAGCGCCACCTATCAATGTGCAGAAGAGATAAAGTGAATTTTTTCAGTAAACATTGACAAAAACTTTAACATATTATTTAATTCTTTACTGTTTTAACTCTGAATCTGTTCAGTACAAATTATTAAATTTTAAAAAAATCTTATAATGTAAATAATGTAATTAATAAAAATATAAATATATGTTTAATTTTAATAAATCGAAAACATTAAATACTTAAATATATCAAATTTTAAATTATTTTTTAATATTTAAATTTCCTATTTGTGGTATTTTAAGGAGAAGATTCTGAGTCATTAAAAAAATACTTCTAATCGAACTTTTATAAATTATAAAATTGTGTTGTATGAATTATATTTTCTCTAACATTCTCTAAGTACTAGAATAATTATCTAAATTAAAATATTTGTAATTTTTTAAATAAAATCTCTCTAAAATTTCACTAAGTAGTTTATTTTTGGTTTTTTTTTTTACTGTTTAACTTTTAGGACTTAAGAGAATTTGTACAGCCCATATTGAGTAAGATATAGCCCATAAATTCCTGAAGTTCTAAACCTGAACTCGAACCAAGATTCCCAGTACAGAACTGTATTTGGTATTATAATTTATACGTATTATGTAAGTTTTAACTTTTCAAAACGTATGAAGCTTGTAGCTGTTTACAAGAGTTATAATTTGTTATATTGAAATTATATGTATTTTTTAGTTATGCATGGATTAAAAATTAATAAATTACTTACCTTCTTATAAGCAAAAATGCAAAATCATCGTCGACCATACAAGTAAATTTTTCGCATTTTTTCTTGTTATACCATACTTCATGATTTTCTCGATTTTTATTTTTTACTTTACATTTACCTAAATCAGAAAATTGAAATTATATAATTTAAAACATTGTAGAAAAATAAAACAAACAAATATACTTTTATTCGAGTAAAAGTTTTAATTGACACTTATAATCCCGCATTAGAATATCAACTTGATTACTTAACATCTACATTTCTCTTTTATTCTTAAAAAATATTTTTGCTCTACGTAATTATTATTCAAATAATGCAAATTTTAGAAAAAAAAGAGACTTTTCCAGGAATTTTCTCGCTGGAGATTTCTCTCGGTTTACAGAACCAAGAACAACCTTAATTCTCTTAATTAAATCATAAATATTCTCGGAGATTTGTAAATTAACACTCGATTTTGTAAGGCAATTCTGTAAGTTGTCTGTAATTCATCCAAAATTTTTTTTCTGTTTTTCTCTCTCTTTCAATGGAATGCCCACCAATTGCAGAGTGGATAAAACCACTAAATAGTGGTCGTGGGTTGCACCTCACCAAGAAGCTTGCCACGTGGAGTTTACTGGGTTTTCTTCACGTGTCTAACATTTAAATAGCTGCGAGTTTCTAATAGAATGCTCTTCTAGAAACCACCTCTCTTTGGAAAATCATCTAGTTGTTCGTTGTCTATTCAATTTACTATATCCACTTTCAATAGAAGACAGAGGAAATTTTATAAATATGAAAGTAGTAACTTTAGTATAGTAATGGTGAGAAAAAAAATGAATTTAGATCAATTTCAATCTGGATGATTCAATGATTTAATTCTTAGAACCAAAGGTACTCTTGGTTCTCACATGGACCACAGACATGGCAGTTACCTCCTCTGAGATTTGCTTTATTCGAATAGCAATTATATTGAACAAAAGTATTTTAATAAGATAAATGAAGATATTCTAAGTAAAATTAAACCTATATAAAGAATATGATTTTTGTCAATAAATTGATTGGTTAGTTAATTTAAAATCGTAGATGTTTTGCCTCTTAAAACATTAATCTGCAGGCACACTTGCTCTAAGTCTATAGCTTTCATAATAATTTTTAAAATTAAAATTAAAAAAATATAATAGCTTAAAATACGCCTTTTTATTATGCCACATAATTATTTAGATTATTTTTCTCTATATTTTAACCATATATTAAGCTAAAAAGTGTAAAATCTTATGTTTTTAATCCTCCTTTTTATATCTATCAAGAGGAAAGTTTAATATTATGGATTTCATGCGAACTTAAAACTTAGTTTCAATCATCTTTAACTGCACTCTGAGCTGTTCCATGATTCACTACAGCAAGAGTTTACTGTATTGATTATAGAGGGTTCATGATATTGATTAGAGCAGAAAGGGTGATTAAATTTATAGCATATGTAATGAGTAATAAGAGCAAAGATTATACCAGTAAAGAATAATACATACCCTATTCATTTACAAGATATTCTATATGTTTTAATGTTAAACATTACTTTGAATGTACAGTAATTATTTAATGCTGATGATGATGCAACCAACAGATGTTTAATGACAACCAAATGGAAATTTCCACTTTCTTGCACAACCAAACTTCGCAAAGTAATTTCGCAACTTCTGCAACGTGATTTGTGTTTTATTAATTAATGCAAATAGGTAAAACTTTTTCAATCTTATGTTATCAAATTAATTCACATCTTTAGTAAAAATATTATTCTGTCATATTTAATTGCTGTTTTTACAATAATAAGCTAAAGGAAATTATAATTTTCATGGATGAAAATAACGAATTTATCTCATTTTTCCAGAGGATTAAGCTAAATTATCTTGCGAAATTTTTGCCTATCTGCAATCATATATGAATTTACTATATAATTCGTTAATCACTATATTTAAAGATGTTCTCGACATATATCTTTCTATATATAAAGCACTATTATGCTTAAAATTTCCAAATATTATTAGCAAATAACCTAACTTTTACTTTCATTTATATTCATCACTATAGAACAAATCACATAATATATCTACAGCATCCACCATATTTAATAATTTACTTTCATACACTTAATAATTTACTATATTAAATAAATATGAACATAAAGATAAATTATATTATAATTAAATAAGATTTCATTCATCTGTTATTACATTTCCTTTAATTGTTTAATTTACATNATACAGTCGACCCCCCTATAACACTGTTGATAATTCCGTTTTATATAAATTCCATGTAGTACGAGTCACTTAGATTTTACAAATACGTGTGCCGGGCTGTGAACGGCTCACGTATTTGTAAAATCTAAGTGACTCGTACAACATGGAATTCATATAAAACGGAGTAATCAACAGTGTTATAGGGGGGTCAACTGTACAGTAAAGTAAGTTGTTGCAATACTAATACAGGTAATAATTAATACATTTGTTAATTTTGGATATAAATCGTCCTAAACAAGTTCTATAATATCTAGAAAATGTCTTTATCTCTACAACTTGATATTAGTTTATCTGAAGTTGTCGAGATCAACATAAACAATGATTTAAACAAAATAAAAAATTTATTTATTTATTTCACTATACACACAGATTTAAACTGTAAATATCAATATTTAATTACACTATAAATTATTTTTAAAGTTTGAATTTTAAATTTAAGACTTTAATATTTACTGTTTACTATTATATTAATTTCCTTCAAAACCTTGAAAATTACAAATATCCGAAAATTCTAACAATATTTTCATATAAAATATCAAAAAATTAACATTTAAACTCCATAATTAGCCACGATAACATCACAATAATTTAGAGTTAAATAAAAAAAAAAAAAAAAGAACTTACCATTGACATTGGGTACAACCCGGAAACGAACGTTTGGCTTATTTCCAGACTTACGAAATGCACTCAGCAACGTTACCAGGATGCTAATAGCTAGAAATAATAAAGCACACTTCATAGTACAGAACGTAGAATATATTTACGACAAACGTTACAACTAAGTTAACAAAATATTCTACTAACAGAGTGATGAGTTGTTATCGTTGGGTGTTCTATACCGTTAATTATCCATTCCCCTTCATCCCGACCAACTTATTAAACGGGAAATACATCGTTGTTAATGAACTGCAATGATAAAAGCTATTATGTACTACTTCTTTCACTATTATACTACATTGTGGTTTTACTGTACTTAATTGTATACACAATTCTTGTTCGTGTACACTTTATAAACATAAAGTAAAAAGTTTTCAGCCAAACATTTTTGTATAAAGTTAAGAAAATTATCGTTTGCTTTATTTTATATTATAATAAATAAGTCTTTTATATTTTAACAGTTGGATAACTTCTTTTAATACTTTTCTTTACTCACACAAAAGTGTTAATTATGCTTTCAAATTTACGACTTTCACCTTTTTCGTCCATTAACATGAGGTGATAGCATCTTTCTTCGCTAGTTATTCTGCTTTTATTATAAAAATAATAATAAAATTTAAAGTAAAACGTGAAATATTTCTCTAAAACTAGTTTCGTTAACGTGCGACATCACCACACGATTAATTTCATTTTTGAATGTGGCATCAGTAGCTCATATTCTTCATGACCAGCTTCAGTTTTCAGTGAAGAATCAATACACTAGGTGCCATACAGCTGCTTTATTTTTGAGTAATATATCAAGTAATTTGTGCCAAACAGCCAGCTTTATTGTGAGAGATTATACCAATCTACTGTACAACCAATTATCAGTGAGAATGAAGAACAGAGCTAGAACTCCAAACCAACTCATGAATTGGTTTCACTTCTATTTTTCATTATCACTTATAATTGGTCGTAAATTGGTAAAATTTAAGAATTGGACGGCCAATTTTACTCTTCATTTTCACCCATAATCGATTATAGATTGGCACAATTCAAAAATTGAATTGAATAATCAGGAATCGAATCCAAGAAGTTCACACGAGTTCATACCAGTTCACATTAGAGCTGGTACTCTAATTCTTGAATTGTATCAATCTACAGTCAATTATGAAAAAGAATGAAGAAGGAGTGCCAGTTTTATTCTTCATTCTTATTCATAATTGACTGTAGATTAATACAATTCAAGAATTAGAGTGCCAGCTCTAATGTAAACTGGTATGTGAACTCGTGTGAACTTCGTAGACTCGATTTCTGATTATTTATTATAAGAAAAAGAAAATCAAGTCATTGTAAAAAAGTATAACGTCTACATATTTAACTCTATATATATTTTTAAATACTTTATCACTGCAAGTTAGTGTCTTCTATCTACTTGAGATTTGTACTGCCTTTCACTACAGTGTATAACTAGAATATACAGTCAAACCTATGAACGATGGCCATTGACAGGAACATTAAAATGGCCGTTGTTAGTAAATTGTTTTGTATGAATTTCAAAAAGAAACGTTCCTGAAAATGGTCGCCATTTACAGGGCGCCGTTGTTGAAGGTTCCATTGCATTTACCAACTTTCTTAACATTTATATTATGTATTTTTAATTTTAGTAGAGATAAAAATAAAATTATAAAGATTTCATTCATCTGTTATTACATTTCCTTTAATTGTTTAATTTACATTAAACCCCTCTCTTATGACATGAGTCGTAAAGCGAGTCACATTACATCCTTAAATATGAATCAATATTGACATTTTTTAAAAATGAATCAGCGTATAATTTTATATAAATGACAATATTACGTAGCAATAAATTTAAATTTATTATAAATATGTAATTAATATCATAATGGAATTACAATAAATTGTTGGAATGAAGGGCTGTATTAATATATATAAGTACAGTCGATCCTTTAATAATGGTACCTCTACTAATTGAAAATCATGCCAACAAAGGCAGAATTTAGATTTGTTGTAGCTCTAACGTATATAAAAAGCCCTTCTCTCTATCAAACAATAATAAATTTATAAGCGTGATAGTCTAAACTGTGACTTAATTTATTCGTAAATCCAATCCTAATGCTAAATAAATTATACAGCTGATAACTGTATACTTACTACAAGACATATTTAATAAAATAAAATAATTTTTTATAAAAAATTAAGCATTATAATCGTCCTGTTTACAAGTTTCCTTCATCCCAATTACTAAAAATAATCCTTCAAAACCTTGAAAATTACAAATATCCGAAAATTCTAACAATATTTTCATATAAAATATCAAAAAATTAACATTTAAACTCCATAATTAGCCACGATAACATCACAATAATTTAGAGTTAAATAAAAAAAAAAANCTGTGAACGGCTCACGTATTTGTAAAATCTAAGTGACTCGTACAACATGGAATTCATATAAAACGGAGTAATCAACAGTGTTATAGGGGGGTCAACTGTACAGTAAAGTAAGTTGTTGCAATACTAATACAGGTAATAATTAATACATTTGTTAATTTTGGATATAAATCGTCCTAAACAAGTTCTATAATATCTAGAAAATGTCTTTATCTCTACAACTTGATATTAGTTTATCTGAAGTTGTCGAGATCAACATAAACAATGATTTAAACAAAATAAAAAATTTATTTATTTATTTCACTATACACACAGATTTAAACTGTAAATATCAATATTTAATTACACTATAAATTATTTTTAAAGTTTGAATTTTAAATTTAAGACTTTAATATTTACTGTTTACTATTATATTAATTAAATATTACATACAGCTACTATTTTTTAATATAATTAATTAATTTTTAATGCATAATAAAATGCATTGAAAATTAATTAATTATATTAAAAATAGTAGCTGTATGTAATATTTAATAAATATTTAGCTAAATTTTAATGGTATAATAGTCCTTGAAAGGCTCGTGAAAGGACTTAGGAGTCAGACAAGGCTCAAGGTCTATTCTATTTTTATAATTTTTGTTACAACTAATGAATTTATTTTTTTTTATATACCTAAATCTTTTTGTGCATTACTTTTTGGAATGTCCTTTTTTAGTTGTTATTTGATATTTAATTTGCTTACAACAAACGTAAATTTTAATATATTTACATGTAATATTTTCTAACAAATAAAAATCCTATACTATCGTATATGTGAATGTACTAAACATTAAGCATTGGAGGGCACTTCATTTTTTTTTGTTTAAGGGGTTAAGATTTCTAGTTACGCCATTGTCTCTCACACCCTCACACTTTCACATCCTCACACTCTCTCACACTATCTCACTTCTTCACATTCTCTCTTTGACATTCCCTCACACACTCACACTCTCTTATTCTCCATTCCCCTTCATCCCGACCAACTTATTAAACGGGANACGTAATTACCTTTGAATTTCAACATAGGCCTTTTGTGAAGTGATGTGACATTTTTTAATTTCGCACCGATCCGAATCGTGAAAAACCGAACCATCATCTAAATGTATCCAAGGTCCTAAGATACATTTCTCTATAAAATAAAATTTAAAAAAAATTAATTTAATTTAATTTAGTTCAGATATAATAAATATAAAATGAAATTCTTAACGTACTCCCTCGCCTCGCTACTCCTTGGTAAGTGACAATTCCTTCGAAATAATCGAAATCTTTGGTGCAAAAAATTGATGGTAACAAGATGGCGACGATCAGAATACTCTTCATCTTTGAAGTAAATGAATACTACTATTGAAAATTTTATCAGATCGATGGTATATATATATATAAAGTAACAAGATAGGAATGGCCTCTGATAATTTTTACAACCTTCTTGCAAGAGGGGTGTTTATAAATGTTTATCGTCTTTAATCACGTCATCCTGTTTACGTCTCTTCAATGATTTTCAGAAGGAAACTGTTATTGTTTTTTTGTTAATATGAAGTATATAATACGATTTTTATCGATAAAATATATTTTTTTAACAATTAATTTACTGTTCTAATTAAATTTATAACACAGGAAGTGACGTAAAGCACCCACTTTTTTTTTTATCTGCAAACCATCACTTGGTGTGAACTTCAATTACACTTTGCGTTATGTAACTAATAATTGTCGTCATTAATATCGATCGTGTGCTTAGTCATTTATGACCTAAATTTATTTATTTCTTTATTTTTTTGAATATTAATGACCCTGACATAAAAGTAAAAATTAAATTTTTGATATGCTAATAACTTTACAGATAAACGTGTACTTTATCTAAAAACAACATTTTAACATAAAAACTATTCATAGTACTGAGGAGTGAATGATTTCTATGTGAATAAGTGCGAATTTATACAAAATAAGTGAAGATTATTTGTTGGTGGCGCTGTAACACACAAAGATTGATAGATGGCGCTAGTAGTCAATCTTTGCGTGTTACAGCGCCACCTATCAATGTGCAGAAGAGATAAAGTGAATTTTTTCAGTAAACATTGACAAAAACTTTAACATATTATTTAATTCTTTACTGTTTTAACTCTAAATCTGTTCAGTACAAATTATTAAATTTTAAAAAAATCTTATAATGTAAANTGTATAACAATAGACGTTGTTGGGACGTGTATAACAATAGACGTTGTTGGGACGTGTATAACAATAGACATTGTTGGGACGTGTATAACAATAGGCATTATTGAGACGTGTATAACAATAGACATTATTGGGACATGTATAACAATAGACATTATTGGGACATGTATAACAATAGACGTTATTGGGACGTGTATAACAATAGACGTTGTTGGAACATGTATAACAATAGACGTTGTTGGAACGTGTATAACAGTAAGCATTATTGGGACGTGTATAACAATAGACATTATTGGGACGTGTATAACAATAGACATTGTTGGGACGTGTATAACAATGGACGTTGTTGAGAGATGTCAGTTTTTTAAGTGTAACCTCCAATAATGGCAACCTCCGAATAACGTCTATTTTCAGAAACTTATTAAACAAATATATTTCTTATATTTTTAACAAAATTTAATTAATAAATTTAAGTTAATTAATTACTTAATTCGAATCATTTAAGTTAATTATCAAAACAATTTTCTTATAATAAAAATCACTTTATAGAAAGTTATTTTAAAAACAATATAAAAGTTTAAAGGTCGCGCTTATAAGTAGGTAATTTCGTCATATTTTAAACGTCATTTACTTGTGAAATTATAGGAGTTATATATGTGGTGTTTATATTAAATATTATAAACGAAATTTCTTAATTCTGATTTATATGTAAGTCTAAATACTTCGCACTAACTTGCGTATTTAATGTATTTCACATAAAATTAATATTTGAAGAATCTTATGAATTACAGATTAATCATTGATTAAAATTAGATATTTTTATAAATGATTTTACTATGAATTTTATGCTTTAAAATTCAATATTCGTATTGTTTTAAACATATTATTTAGCTATAAAGGGTGCAATAGCGGTTTAACAATACTAAGTCATAAAAACAGGGTATATTATATTGTTTGTACCTGTGTATATTGTTCTTGCAAGCATTTTTAAAGGAAAATAACGTAAATTATACACTAATTTCTTATAGTTTCTGTTGCAAAATTGAGGTTTCTATTATAAAAATTAAACTGATGATATTACATGTGATGATGATATACAGAGCTTAACAAGAACATTATAAAATGCTCTTTTACTTTCTTACAGCAATATTTTATGATTAAAAATACATTATATGAAAAGTTAACAATGTATATTAAACGTTAAATAAATAATAATTAATTTCCACAAGTAATTTTTATATTATCTGAAATAAAAACGAATAGAAAAAGTCTCAAGACTGTCATTTTTAGGTTAAAAATATCCAAAAAAACCAAATTTGCCATACGAAAAATGATTACAAATATAAAAGTATTATATACGATTGAACTTGTATATCATATTATTAAATCATAATACATATGTAGAAAATGTATATCAGTTTGCAGTAATGAATTAAGACCTTTCAAGGGCCCCTAGGCACTAAATATTGGGGCCCACTACGTAAGTTTACATCATAAAGTTGCCTAATTTTCTTGGCACGTGTAGGAACCACCAAAACTTGGAGCTCCTGAATCTAATAGAGATTGCAAGGTACAGATTGAGCGATATTAGAACATGGTAGAGCCATCACTTATGACTTAATTAATCCCTAGAAAATTATCATTAAGGTAACTTAAACCCTGATTTCCCATAGGTCTAGTATCATATTTTGAAGTTCTCTTCTCAGAAATGAACTTTAAATTATGTATACACCACTTCCTAAATGGCCAACAGGGCAAAATATTTAATTGCAGCCATGATAAAACCAGTCGTAAAATCGGGGTAGTCTATACAGAATGTTAATTAACCTTAAATTAATATTACAAGCCTATAAACTAATAAGTAATTAAGTAATTTAAACAATAATATATATGATGTTAAGTAATATACAGTTGTACGTGTAAAACTACACGAGTTATAAAAGACGATGTATACATGCTAAGAAATGTTTATAATCAATTTTTATATATCGAAATTCGGTATATTTGTTAACATTAGTGAAGATTAGATAAGGTAGAATCTACGAATGATACATTACTATAAATAAAAGTGATTACTTACGTATCAATGTTAGTTTTATGAACTATACATCTGAGAAAATTAAACATAAAGCTTACTTTAAAGAATTTTTAATATAATATTTAAGAAAATTTACTTTGAATCGATGAGAATGAAAGCAAGAAACGTTCTCGCTCAAACTCACTGATGATCACACACACTCACATTTACAGGTGATCTTACTTAGAATTGGTCACATGTACAGGTCTTAAAGGGAGAATATTAACAGTGGAAGAAGAATGTTTACTTAGATGTAATCACATTATATGGAATCACACAAAAATGATCACACTACAAAGGATGTGGGAGATGATCGCGCTTACGTGGGAACATACTCAGCCACTCGTAAATTATCACGTTTACATGGGATCATACTCAGCCACTCGTAGATGATCACGTTTACATGGGATCATACTCAGCCACTCGTAGATGATCACACACTACTGATAAAGGATCATACAGGGATGATCTCAAACACAGAGCATCCCACCAGGAGATGCTTACGCTCAAAAAAGGATTTCACTTACTCGTTAGACATGATTATATTACAAGGGAAATAAGCTCAGGTGATCACATTTACAGAGGATCACACACAGAAATGATCACACACCATGAATATGATTAGAATGTGATTAAGATTGAGACCAGAGAATATGATTAAGAACAGTTACAATCACGAGTAATCACAAGAATATTATTCAGATAATCACACTCACTCAAACTCACAGATATTATTTATAATTATATTTGTCTTTTTATCATTTCTAACAGTAAAAGTAGCCTACTTCTCTTTTCGATTTCTAGAGGGACCTGCCTGATATTTTTTAATTACTTATAATGGATACATTTACCGATTTATATGTTTTTTTTCCGGCAATATATAATTAGCTGGAGTGTTAAAAATTAAAACAAATTACTGATATTGTGTGGCCTCTGGACTATAAATACATTTTGATATCAAAATCATCGTGTGATAGATCCTTTGACGTAATTATATGATTTTTTGATCCTTTGACGTAATTATATGATTTTTTGATACTGTCATTTTTGTTTCTAGATTTTATATCGTTGTTTACACAAAAAAAACGACTTCAAAGGTATTAAAATAGTTTAATTTTACACTGTAAAATCCAATTTTATTGTTAATTTGTTGGATATTGTTTACCATGTTTTATAATTCAATCGGGAAAAACAATATTTTGAGTGGTTTTATGAGTCCACATTCGAGTTTTTTTAATGGAATTTTTATTTTATATTTCTTAAGAAAGCAGAGAGAAGAGTTTTCTTAAAAAACAGCAAATAATTTCTTTAAAAAACATTAAAAAATAGCCAATAATTCATTACAAAATAAAAAATAAAAGCAGGCTTTTTATTTGCTGTTTTTAAAATACAAAAACAATTTAAAAATAAAAAAATACGTTAAAAATCTCTAATTAATCGAAAATTTTTAAATAATTATTAAATTAAATACTAAAAAAATAATTATTTTATGTGAAATTTTATAAAATTAGAACACGGTTAACTGTAATTCATTTCTTTTTTTTCACTTTAAGTGGAATGAACTGTGTTCCTCTGTGAAGAGGGTTTCATAAATCCACTTAATTAATCGTAAAATTTAATTTATATTATAAATTTCTTTTATAAATAATGTAAGGGGAGAAACTGTTTTCAAAAATGACTCACTGGAAGATGTGTTCGGGTGTTGTTGAAAGTGATATTCGAGTAACTTGGCAAACATACCGATGAGTTGCGTAACTAAAAACAGATAAAAACACTTGTTAAATGATTCTCTTCATGTTTTAACAAATATATGTTACAGTTTATCTGATTTTAATCTCTATAAAGTGATAAAATTTAAAATAAATGCGATGAGAAGCCAAATTCTTAAGACGTCTCATACATTTATCCCTTATAAACGAGACAAAAATCTATAAAAAAAAAAACTTGTGAAAAAATTGTTTAATTCTTACATTCATAAATTACCATAATTTTTACTAATTTTTAAGTAATTTACCATATAAAATATTCATTTAAATACTAGACACCCTCTTCGTAAGGTCAACTGACTAATTTAGGGGATGCTAAATTATTACAGGAGATTAAAAATAAATTTATTTACAGTCGACCCCTCTATAACACTGTTGATTTTTCCGTTTTATATGAATTCCATATTGTACGAGTCACTTAGATTTTACAGATACGTTTGCCGGGCTGTGAACGGCTCACGTATTTGTAAAATCTAAGGGACTCGTACAATGTGGAATTCATATAAAACGGAATTATCAACAGTGTTATAGGGTTCGACTGTATTTATTTTATATATACAATAGGAAGTATCACAGAACAATTAATTACTTCCCTTAATTAAAAATACCATTAAAATTAATTGTATAATTTAATAAAAACAATAATATAAATATAGTATTAAATTTTTTTAAGTGTAGAAATGAGTGAAGAATTAATTAAATAAAAGTTTTAAAAGGGGTTGACAAACAATAGGAATTATTTATAATTTTTTTTCCTTCTATAATTTTGTCGTCAGAATATATATATATATATAACATTCAAAAATTTAAGTGAAAACAAATTAAATAAATTACTCAATAAATTAAATTACAAAGTTCAAGCTACGCTAAATACAATTGAATATGGGAAAACAAAAGAAAGTAATGAAGATGTCCTGAACGGGAACAATTGAAAATATACTATTAAATGCGTTGAACCCAATGAAGATTAATTGAGAAAATGAAATAGAGTTTTATAAGAAAGTTCTTTCGATATATTTAATGGTTATGATGTAACACTTGTATCAGTTATCACGTAAATACTTCGACTCCTACTCTGTTATTCTTAATGATTACTCGTTATATCTACAACTTATTCCGTCTAGGATGTAAATTTGACGTCACAGAACGAAGTAATTACGAAAAGGAAACGGAATTATATCATTCCTCCTCCATTTTCTCTTTTTTTTACATCATTAAAATTTATCTTAAGGAAGTAGCAGAGGAAACAATTACGAATTGTCCCCCTTCCCAATATAAACTGCGATTTATGATTTAAAAAGAGTCAGTTTGTCATTTATTAACTTCAAGGCTAACAAAGTCCAGGAACGACCTTGTTCTACGTGTAAAAAAAGATCCTCTTACATTTAAAATACACTTGAATTGTTTAGTAACTGTTATTTGTAAGTGTAAAGTCTTTACAGTGGTGTTGTCTACATAAATATAAAAATGTTTAACTTGTCAACAATTACAATTTTGATTGTTTCATTCATTTTGTTACAAAACTCATTGCAAACCCCAGTAACAGAAGAGTATTCTGTGTTGGTTTCGAATGGTATGGCTTATTTTTTTAAATAATTGAAGACTTTTTTTAAATTGCTTTTATTAATTTATTATTATCATTATTATTTGTAGGTAAATGCGTACTAGAATCTAGAAACTTTCAAAAAATTGGTAATAATTGGTACGATTTAAACAATTGTAAGATGTATGAATGCTTCCTGAATGGAGTGAAAGCAGTTGTGAAGCAGAACAGGTGAGATATTAATTGAATTAATTAATAACTACTAATTGAAGAATGGGTATAGAAAAGAGAGAAACGTTCTACAGGGTGTTCCCTACTTTTAAACTGTTCAATATAACCTATTTGTTCAGATGTATGAATAAAATGTGCTGGAAAGTGTTGGTCAATACTACAAAGGAACTCTGACTAGAAATGAGGCCCCAGCGATCTAAAATGTGAGGCCTCATTTCTTGATTCACCCAATCATATTACTTCATCTCTTTAACCTTTTTTTGCACGTGAGCGTGTTAAGGATTAGCATACACACGATCCTTAAATACCCATCGGTCCTAAGCGTGTGTATATAAAACTTGGAGTATTGCTCAACATTCTCAAGCACATTTTATTCACATATCTAAATAAATACATTTTACAGAACGGTTTAAAACTAGAGACATTCAAGAGGAACATCTTGTGTAATAAATGATAGTAGTGGTTTTCAAGATAGATTTTATAAATCTCAACATGTTCAAAAATATTCTAGGTGAGCGTATGATACTTTGGTATACATAGTGTACGTTTCTTTATAGTTTTAAAAAATATTTCATCAATTATTTGTGATTTTTTTAATTAAAAAATAAGAATAAATTATTTTATAATTGGTAAATTTGAATGAGATCCTATTAGGAAAGGGTGTGATTTTATTTTTATTAACAGTAATAATGCTCATGAGCATTTACTCCTTAACATCCTCTTTTCTTTTATATAACGATTGAGGTGACGTGCCTATTTCGACGTTATATTGGAGGAGGAGGAGGAAGATGAGGAGGAGGAGGAGGAGGCAAGATATCAATAACCACCCACATATATCAAATCAAGACTAGTTCATGTTGCATAACGTTAACTCTTCGCGCTTTACCACCCGTCAATTTAACATTATATACGTTAAAATATAACCAAAAATACATAATTTACTAATTTATTCCTTAATTTTTCAGTTGCTCCGACTCTTTTGATAGAAAATCAAACTGTCGAATGCAGAAGGAAACGGGAATGTTCCCAACATGCTGCTACGGTAGCATCGTTTGTGATAGAAGAAGATCAACAAGGCATTCCAAGAGGGAACCATTCAAGAATATGTTCGAATTTATGAAAAAATAAATAAATAAAAAAGAATAACAAATAATAATAATAATATCAATGTAACATTATTTTAATTCGAAAATAAAAATTTTAATTATAATTTTAAATCAAAGTTTAATTATTTAATTAATAAATAAGCACGCTTCGTAGATAACACTCACAATTAGATATGAATGATATTAATTATGTAATAAAATAAAAACTATTTTATAATCTTATCAATGCAACGTTTAATAAGCATGAAAGGATGAGATATTAATTATAAAGGAAGAAACTTGTATCTGCTTACTGAGACAAAGAATAAACAGGAAAATGCCCACGCATATGATCTATATATATTCAAAATATTCGTGGAGGATGGTTCAGATGATACTGCTGAATCAATTTATACTGACTTCTGATAGTGCTGAGCAACATCTGTATGTTAATTTCTCTTATATAAGCGCGTGAGAAGTTAAAGACGAGAATGAACGTTGAACAGATATGCTTGTGTTTATTGATGGTATCGTCAGTATTCGCGTTATCTGACGTTAGATTCAAGTATTATGAGACCGAAAAACATGGAAGTAAGTTGTATAGTTATACATTAATAAGTTTATTATATCTTAAAAGGGGGTAGTTTGATATAAACACAGCTATAAATTAAATTAATTTAGTGAGGAAAAACACGTTTAAAATCTCGAAGATGTAGAGAAAAATGATAATAAAGAATATGAAGAAGTAATTTACTCTTTAATTATTACTTGTAATTTATAATTAATTATTGTTTTTAAGTACAGTACAGTGAAACCTGTGTAAAACGGACTCGCACATTCCGCTTTGGCAGTCAGTTCGTGTTATTAATGTTCCGTTTTGGACAAGTTTTATTGTATTTAATTAATTACAAGTTTTCTTTATTTGTTATTTAATTATTCGGGTTCGATATAACGCGATTTCGATATGTATTACGCCAATATAGATTGTTCGTTCTAACAAACATACAGTTTTATACACAGGAAAGCTTAATAACTCCTATGCTTTATGTCGAAAACTTCTGAAATTCTGAATGGAAGTTTGTGTATTAAAAGATTTCATTCTATTAAATTTCGATGGTCAAAGGTCAAACGAATGGTGAGGTAGTGGGTGATCGTGTGTAATCTAACGTAAAGGTTACCTGTATATATTTTTAATAAATGTCTACGTTTATTTGAAAATACAGTAGTTATAACGTAAAATATTTAATTATCACTATTGTTATTTTAATTATAGAAACTTATAATAATAAAATTAATTTTATACAGCTTTGTTTTAAAAATTTAATCTGTAAAGTCATCATTATAATTAAAGATTAGGTGCTTAGAGTTTTCTGTAGAAAGAACTATGGGGCAAATCTTAACCAAATTTTTAATCATATTGTCTCGACTATGCTGTTTCCATTTAGGAAAAAATTTACTTCAAAATTTAACCGCCAGGCGATATTTGGCGCTTCTCTTCGTTTAACATGCATATTAGGTTCAGTTTGAACCGTTCTTAAAATAGTCAAAATTTATGCTGGTTAACTGATTTTTGGGTCATCTTCTATATTAAATTTTACTCATATTATATATAATTTTGATTGTTTTTAGTTTATAGCATCTTTACAATAGACTCCGTTTTACGACCATTTATTTTATACCTTCGCTTTANAATTGTCAATATTAAATATATTTATTATAAATGAAATTTAATTCATTTTAAACTTATAAATTTTTATAATCTTAATTAAAGGATGCAATTTATAGCTGAAAGGAAACTGATAAACACTCGACACTCTGTTATTAAGATTTTTTAATGCCTTCATGACTTTTCTGGCTATTATATATATAACAGAGAAAGAGTATGACCCGTCAAAAAATGTCAAAAGGTCAAAGAATGACCCTATTATTTTTACATTTTTGGAGACCTTGAAAAGTCAAGAAATACAAAAAAATCAGGGTTTATTTGTATATGTGTATGGTGTAACGCTTTTGTTCACCCTATTTAAAGCTTAATAACTCCTGTGTCTTTTGTCGAAAATTTCTGAAATTTTGCAGGGAGGTTTATGTATTACAGACATTAATGCTGTTAAATTTTGGTAGATAAAGGTCGGAGGAGTAGAAAGATATAACCTCCTTTTTTACGACTGCTCTATAACACTCGCTTTAAAATTTAAGCAAAATTACAGTTGAGAGATCACGTAGTGAAATATTGCCTATTTTATGATTATTTTAAGGATGGTTAAAACCGGTTTGAAGCAGCTAATTGTTATTATTTGTTACTCATGTATCCAGTTTTAACCTTTAACCAGTTACTGACTTTTGGGCCACCCCGTATATCTCAAAGGATACTGTTATCTCTAATTGACAAGATAACTGAGGTTAGATGCTCCTGTCTATCTTTAAGAAGCTTCATCACTTATCGAAAAGATAAAATGTCTATATTTAGATTCAATATTCGGCTCTTCTTGTCTATTCTCTTCATTACCTAATGAATACAGAGAAGGTTGCACTGTGGAACAAAAGACTGGGAAGTTCCCTTATTGCTGTTTCAACAGACAAATGACTTGTCCACCCCTTAAGGAAAATGACAAATATCAAAATGATGATACTAAAATATCGAAAATTTCTACGAATAATAATAAAATTTCGGTGATTAAAAAGAAGAAAAATGAAAATTGCCCTTGTCTCAGTTAATTTTATGTGTAAAATCAGCCTATCAATATCACATATTTTGTATTGTTTGGCAATAAATCTTTATTTTCATATCTGTCAAATTGTCTTTATATTTATATAAAGGTAGCATTAATGTATATTATTTTTCATATTTATAAGTAAACAATATTTAAAAATACTGTTTAACTGCGGAGGCTTCTTATGTGTCTAGAACATAGAGCAAACGATCTTGCTAACACCTACGTACAGGTAAATGACAGACAGAAAAGCCTTATCTGCTAAGGACTGACAGTGATTTCAATCTCTTTCGACTCTGTTTGGGAACAAACGGCCATCGTGTTAGAGTGTGGAGGACAACTGGAGAACTATTCAATCCCTCTATAAATGTTCAGAAGCACACTTCCGCTGCTGGCGTATTGATCTCAGGAACTGCCTTATCAGGGTATTACTAGTAGTGAGTGGTACTTGAGACAAGCAGGGTTCAGAGGCAGGGTTCATTGACACACAGAGGTAGGTTCAGAAAATCACGCACCCTCATCTGCGCTATTTCAGTATCTGAAAAAATATACTGCATATTGCTCAAAGATTTTGTCTCTATACCTTTGAACGGTGAAGGTTCCTCCCTTGAAGGCGTGCAAGAGTATGAAACCATACGACAGAATTCCTCCCTTTACAGTAATTTTTCTAAGATGCTTTATCTCAAACAATATCCCATCTACGAGGAAGACATCAGTAGTCAAAAGTTCACGGAAACAACACTTGTTCCTGTTTACATATGATGCGGACGTCTGAGATGTTTATAGAGGAAACAACACTGATATTTGAACACGACTACTATTTTTTTTTTTTTTAAAAAAGAGATATAAAATAAAATCTACCTGTGAATTTATAACACGAAATGTTGGATAATAGGATGTCTGTTGTAAATTATTGACATAGAGTTTATGACCTTTCTGCTTTTTAAAATAGCTCAAATAAAGGAGGACATTCTCGAGTGCAATTCTTTAATAAAATACTGCATCGAATTGATAGGATAAAGCAACCCAACATTTGAGGAATCTGCTGAGGTGAGATGCATTCCGGGAGGACTTTCTACTTAATTTGACACGTGAAGAAACCCGGAAAACTTCACGTGACCAACACATTGGCGAATTACGAACCCTCGACTTGTGTAGTGGTGTTGGCCACTGACGATCGATAATAACACAGTTGTCTTCTATCGAAACACTTCGTGATTTTACGTGTTATATTTTTTATTTTTTATTGCCATATGGTTACTAATAAAGCCTTTTTTTAAGGTAGACAAAGCCAGGTAAGCTAGTATAACAGGTAATAATATAGTCAGGAAGTTAAAACATCTCACATACCCTCCGAACTCCCATTTCAAATCACGTTCTCCGCACAGACAAACTGACAGTCGCAAAAATACAGGAAAACCACATATTTAGTTTAAGTAACAAATGTTTATTCTAGCTTAAGGAAGGAGACAGAGAAATTTAATCGAGTCTTTTATGTTTCTTTTTTTTTACCTACTTACAGGTGGAAGGAATTAAAATAAATAAAATAAAAGAAGTTTTATTGATTTTACTGTATATCAATTTAAGTCAAGGTGAATGAAGAGTGCGTGTAAATTGAGAGTTGTGTAAAATTTTTTTAATGACAATACACTTTACGTCATAAGAGGGAAATAGTGTTTAGTTAAAACAGCTTCCCACTTGATAAGAGCGGGTCCTACAACTAAAAACTAAGCTTTGATAAGCAAACACATAAAAAAAAATATATATATATTACATTTATGGAATTTTAAGGAGAATTTNATTTCTTTATTTTGTACAAACAAAATAAATATATTGAAAAATATAAAAACAATAAAAAATTATACTTCAGAAGTTAATTTAGTATCAAAAACGTAAAATATTTGATTAGCCCAAGACATAGCCAAAGATTGCAGCGCCACAGCACTAGCGAAAATTTAAATTTGTCAATTGAAATTCTTTCGGATAACCGACTTTCGGATAAACGACGCTGTACTGTATTAAAATATTAAATACATTTCTGTTGTAAACGTTGGATCATTAATTGTTTTATTCTTAACTCATCGCTATTTTATTGCGATACTTTTACAGCTGCCATTTAAAAAAGATTGTAAACTTTATAAATGCCAACTGTCGTTTGTCTGTATTTTCTTCATCTGGAAATCGGAGATTGATAGATGAAAGATGAGACCAGAAATGGAAATCGTAGAGGCAGATAGTCCCAATTAACTATACAGTAACTTCCATGTATTCCAGAAGTCATGTTATTTTAATAAAAATATTCATATGAAAGCAGTTTGCTAGATGAGCAGCATGACTCTATTGCTAATAGGAAAGTATGATGTACAGGGGCAATCCACTAGTAATTTGAGATGGAGACCATATATTTTAAAATTTATTTACCGGGAAACAATTGGATATGTGATTGTAATTCTTGTTTTACAATGAATCGGTTGCTGAAGAACATGCAGGAAATTGCCGAA